CGGAGGGGCGCGGGCGGTGACGTGGGCGGCGAGCTTTTTTCTCTCGTCCGGCCCTCATCCGCCTTTCACACCCCTAAAATCCGCCCGACGCACTAATATACTCGTCGTGGGCGTACGTCTGCTATATGGTACTTTTGACACTGCTTTAATTGTGATAATATATACTCTATTACTATATGATATAAACTATTTCACCACTTACGATTATAATATATACAGTACGATATAAAGCACCCTGAGTGTTAACAACAGCGTACCTACCAATCGATAGTTACAATATGTGTAAAAAATAATTTTAATAAATAATTTTTTATTTCAATAAAATATCAAATATTATAATCGTGATAACGGTGTTACGTGTATTGTAKGTACCCACTACACATCACGCATGTTATAGTATATTTTATTTTATTTATTTTTAGACAATAATATTACAGTACGGGAGGAGAGTCGACGATGTTTGTCCTAGATAATGTATCATCGAARTCGATATATTAAATTAATAAAATATCAGACATAAAATGCGTAAGCACAGAAAGATTATATTATGCTTATTGCTTATCCACTCGGTTGAAACTTTTATAAATGTATATTRTAGTAGCATAGAGATGGTATTGGTGGCGCCTCAATGTAATGAACAGACARCATCGTACAATAATATGATGCGGGACACACGAGAGCACAGAGACAACTTTTATGCGAACGCGCACAATTTAACAATTTTCGATAGGAGGACTGCAGGGTGGTTCTTTAGTGAAGCGATTAGCGATAGCATAATAAAAACTGTACACAGTAGATTACTACAGTATCTTTAAAACGTACAAAAAATTAAACCGAGAATCGTGCAAATATCAAAAGTCAATGGACTAATCGGACGACCGTCCGTCAAACGAAATTATACACGAGCGATCGAACGCTTTATGTCACATACGAAATAAAAAACGCAGTGGTACCTACCATGGCCGCGGTATACTTAAAATATTATTATTACACCTAAGCGTGACGATGTTCGATTAAACTTTTTTCGGGTTGTTCTCGTGTATACCGCATAATATTATGACAGATACTTATTATTACTCGGCATGTCTCGTTTTTACAGCCCAGTAAACTTAAACTCGAACAGATTAAACGCGACGGTCAAGTCTGACACTATGGTTGCCATCAACCTGCATGCACGACCGACGGGCGCCAAAGTCATCATGCCCATACATGTATAATATGATGATGACATTAACTATACGGAGGTACAGGGTACCTCCATAAAATATAAGCTATATATTTATAGGTATTATATGCCTTCATGAATCTACACACAAACTGCTGTCGCTGTCGATTAAACCCGTTCAACTAGACGTAATGTCACGTTACAAAATACAYGATGACTACGTATTGCATGAAATAAAGCTGTCAAACAATAATAATAATAATCGTTGACATTGTCTAATCTAAATAATAACTAATCGTCGACGTGGATTATAGGACGCGTACTGATTTTTGGTGCCATTTCGGYGCATTCGCCATTTTAAGTTTTGTATTTTGATACACCGGAGGTCTCTCGTACATGATAATAATAATAATTTTTCCGCCGGTGAATTTGTCTGTTATATTATACTGACGCCGTGATGTCTCGCATATACGTCGCCACCCGGATCCTATTGGGTAAATAGATATATTATGATATGGTTACCTATACAATATTATGTTCACGTGAAATATAATGTTATTGTTTGTCTATAGATATGAATAAATATATTAAACATAATATAGGTTTAATATTTTCCATCAATACACTTTCCAAAATGACACATATTTTAGATATAATATGATAACATGATATACCATTATAGATGACTCTGACCAAGAAAATAATGAACAAACATATACTATTTAGCTCTACATTAGTTTTAGTGTATTTCATTTTACTGGAAAATCGGCATCGGTGTACCTAGCTTTGAGCACTAATTTAACTGAGAGGGAAATCCACCTGTATTATAGGATAGGATCGGTATTTTTTTAACGTGATTAAAAATACTCTCTAAACTTTTCTGATATCGCTATATAAAATCACTCAAACTTTTGTTAAAACCATTRGCTTATATTTCACGTCAATAGACCATATTCATTAGGATGTTGCCTAATGTATTTAATAGTATAAATTTGATTAAGAAGATACCACGACATCTTACAAACTGTATACGACATAGCCAATTGTATGCTAACAATAATCCATTTTACTTTATTATTGTCAAAACAAATAAAACTTGAGTGAATTGACAAATGATAAAGTTTAAAGGTAAGGTAAATCTAAGGCATCATATTATTTTTAATTAATTAATGATAATTTAAAAATGTACAACAAATATGCAGTCCGTCTTCGCTCAGAATCGTTTTTTGTATACAATATGGTATAAGATAATTGATTTCAAATTTAATACATCCGTTACACTCTTTACAGTGATCCAAATGAGACATATAAAGTACAACAAAACAATAACGTGCTTTAAAAAAAAGGTTTTTGGTTAAATTCCAGATACTAGGTTAGGTATAAATAAAGATACTCAAGGATGGATTGGAGATTAAATAAGTCCCACGTGACCTAATTTTTATGCCGAAATACTATAAAATTAGTGCTCACCCTTCCTAGCTACGATAATTATTTTACAAACCTCTATAATTATTTGAATTAAACTAGCTATTTATAGCACGCATTTCTGTATACAGTGATTGCAAATAACAATTTTAGTGTGTTTTACTAAGTTTCTGAAGGTTAAAAATGTATAAAAATATAAAAAATAGGTTTTTRATGTTTTTAAGATGTCGTCCTAAAAGGGTAAAAGTTTTTCTCATTTACTAAATCGTTAGCAATTTTAGATTCTGAGCGGAACATGAATGATATATTATTTTATAATTATATTGATATTGATCAAACAGAACGTACCGTTTTTCCTTTCCAATGAAAAAAATAGTATAGAGCTCCGCCCTCCTTCAGTGTAACCCCCCTGCCACCCCAACAACTAGAAAATAATATAAATAACTTATGTTAATCTTCATGATAGGGGTGAATTGTAAGTATTTATTTTTTGATAAATATTGTATCAATATAATTTAACTTAAGAGAACGCGATGTCTTCGCCTTACAAKCGCATAAAATATTATAAGACAATTAATGCTCAACAGTCATCTGATTCCATTTTCATTGTATCTAGTATTTGTACTATATATACTCAAAGAATTGATCTATTATCAAATAAAAAAGTATTTGTATTAAAAATTTATAGCAAAGTATGAGATGTTTAAAATTGTTAAAATTTGGCATGGWARTAGAATGGTACTTAAGAATTAAAATATTTCCTCTATATCATGTACAATTACTCTTTGACGGTTTTTTAAATATCGACGATTCTACTTATCCAACGAATACAGTTTATTTCATCACTATAATAATATTTAAAACTCTTTGCTTAATTTATACAAAAAAAAAGATAATATACCTAATATAGAAGATATTTTAAAATCAATAATTTTCAATGAAAATTATTAATTATTTAGTGAGAGATTGAAATTTATTTTGCGGCCGTTCGTGCATTGTTTACCGCAAAAAGCATATTAAACATAATAGAGGTGTAGAACATTGGGAAAACACGAGTAGGTAATAATAATAATAATAATAATAATAATAATAATAATCATGATCGAAAATCCCGTTTCTGCCGAACGTTCGGCGTAGGTACCACCTACCACCGAGGTTATGGCGAGTGGTTACTAACACGAACCGAGGAGGACGGGTAGGTGTGCGCATATTATCGTGCGTGTTGGTGTGTAGATGAGTGTTGGTGTGTGTTGCTTCGAATGCGTGTGCGTTGTGCGTTTGTCGCGTGCGCACAAGACGTCAGCGAGACCAGCGACGACAACGACCATACCGACCACAAGAATATGAGTTAGGATCACTTCGTCAAACGCAACGGGCACGATCGCGCGTGATTCATAGTAGTTCGACTGCTCATGAGTTGTCCCTGAAGCTTGCCCAMTCTTCTGCACTTGGCGTTTTTCGTGGTTCGAAATTTTTTTTTTTCCTCTCGTTTGGACCGAAGGTCCTATTTTTCTTCTCCCGTTCGTTCTCGACTCATCAAAATTCCGCCCCTCGATTACTCTACGCGGTCGACGGATCCGACGTTACCGGACATTGTCGTCGGCGGCACGGTACTACCGTTTTCCTCGTTTTACCTGTTCGTGTTGGGTCTGCTGCTCGTGTATATGTTTTGGATGTTAAGGAAGGAGACCAAACACTACCCGTACGACTCCGACGACGAATCCGACTTCAGTTCCGATTGCGAGAGCCAGCCGATTAAAGACTACTACTTAGAATCATCCAAGACGCMACACTGCCCGTGCGCCTTCCGAGAGGACATTTGGTACTGAGGCGGAAATCCGTTTCTCGAGCACCGACGGCCGTGTTTCCACAGTAGCCGGTCCGTAACACCACCGTTGCCAACGACAGCGGTATAATAATAATATTATTACCTAACCTAACCTCATAATATAAAATAACAATGATTATGATAATAGTGATAATCATAATAATAATTAAGAAACAGTACCGTCGCATCGAAAACGGCGGCATGGCTTGAAAATAAAAAGTGTACGTTCAGGCCTCATCTGTCGCCRCACTTCCGCCAGCTGGGTCGCCGTCGTCTGGCTCGTTCCGATAACCTGCATAGACGGTTCTACAGGTGGTGTCGCCGGCAATCGAGCAGACAACCTACGGCGACCTCGCTGGGTTGTTTCCGTTCTCTCACGCCAACCGCCGCCGTCGTCCGATTTTACGATATAATCGATAACTGACGGTCTTTGGTGGTGATAATCGATTCGATTTCGTATGTGCGCCGCAGGTATGGCAAATACCATAGAAAACGTTTRAATATATTATTGTGCACGCGACTCAGCGTAATCGCCGACCGTAAATCACGTTTTTTTTTATCGCGGCCGCGGTCATATAAAACGTTGTGCGCGATGATATTGTACTTATTATTATTGGCATCGTTGCTGCACGTTTAAGCGCCGTGATCGACGGCCACAAAATAGCGACGCGAGTGACCGATCGATCGTTGTAATCGCCGTAACGCGTCATTGCGAACCGAACGAGTGCGCGCAACCGGTCGTCTTTCGCCGCCGCGGTATTTTTTACGTGATACACGCCGCGTGTAACRATTTATTTGGACATGGCGTCGCGGATACAGCCTAAGCAAGCGAGCGCGGCCACCACGGGCGTCGCCTGTCTGGTCGGCGCCGTCGCCTGGATCTTGATCAGCTCGATTTACGTGGGAAACAAAGAGGGATGGCCGCAGTTCATGCTCAGCGTRTTTGCAGCGGCCACTGTGTGCACGGTGGCCGCCTCGTCACTGGTCTACGCGGCCTACCAGCAGTACGTGGTCAAGAGGAGTCTGTTCGACGATCACTGCAGTACCGACGAGTTCGATTTCCGGTCGACAGGCCAATGGGCTGGTGAGTGCACGATGTTTTTATTGTTATGAGTTTATTACCGTCAAWATCGCGGTGATCTCGACTTATTGTCCGTTAATCATAGTCCATCACATTTCCCCGAATCGGACACTTTGACACCTCCCTGGATTTAATGGCGTTTCCCGAAAATGTTATCTCATATAGGTAGTAAAATCGGAATTCGGTCGACATTCAAACGCACAGAATTCGACTTTATTTCTCGTTATATACCTATATTATGTATTTGATTTGTTTGATTCCATTTGAGAGACTATTAAGATCGCAAAAGTTGTTTATTCATTATTTACTCAGGATGTTTGCGCCATTGGATGGTACAAATTATGTTTGCTTTCGGTTTTAACGCGTAAGAAATAATAATAATGTATACGAATACGTGCAAAAACTACGTTATACTTACACAACAGATTTTCGCTAACCGCAATAACAGGTGGTCGGGTGAACCGGAGGGATTTGATCGGTGCAAACATCAGCCGCCTCTGAAGCAAGTAACATATTAATAATATTATAATATAATATCGTACGATTCGGTGSGCAGCAATTGGTTAGCGAACAATAATTATTGTACCTATGCCGTAAACACCACATAAATGCTTATAATAATAATTACAATAATATTATTGTTGCCGTCCGATTTTGACACATTTATCAACAATAATAAATAATATCGTTACTATATAGATAATTTCTATAGCAATATTCACATCGCTGATTTATTTATTAACATTTATATGCGGACTGATGCCCAACGAAACATGAATAATCACATAAACATTTTAAAAGAATATAATCCGCTTTTACGGTGTGTTAAATAATGTGCTTCGTGTCGTTCACTATATTAGCGTTATCGGCACAAATTTTGTTTCGCCGTTATTATTCAGCTGATTTACGGTGGATTAATTTTTATGGAAATAATCCCCACCAAAACACTAAACCTAACGAATAAGTTATTATCGCAAGTATAGTGACGATTGCGCAGTATTGTATAGGTATATTATTACTAAATTAATTATCACAATTTATGCATCGTATGGTCATGACTATTATGATAACAATATCGGGGTCGTGGTTTTTTTTATTTTTAAATAAAAACAAATATATTGCTCGCGCGGTCTTGCTTTAGAAATAATCATTTTATCATATTTTTTATTAAACGAACGAAATACCGTAATCCCTACCAACACACTGCCTGCGCAGTATCAATACAGTACAAAATATATAACATATACATAAAGATCTATAATAAATCAATGATAAAATAACCAAGTGAAAATTAATGATAACCAATATCAAGCGATAGCAAACGATTGTTATACAAACACACAGTTCGGAATGAACGTARTGAGAAGGTGGAGAGTAAAAATATAAAAGATAAAAAATTTAACATATAATTTAATAMCCGCGTAGTGGTGTTCAGATCACGTTGCTTGTGCGGCTCTCAATTTCAGCGGCTTTGGCGACAGTCTTTCAAGAAATAACGAGTGATATACCAATATAAATTATGTTGAACGGGATAAATCTCAATTCGACAAATTATAGTGTACATCCGTAAAGTACTGCATAGGATATAGCTAACAGTAAATCGTTATAATTGTTTATATATTGTTTGTATTCTAYACAACTTTGGTCGACGGTCCTATTCAAAGTAAAATCATTATTAATGCCTGCTTGAATAAATACTCGTCACTCACTAAACGTATTTAACGGAGCAGCRGAGACAGCTAATGGCCCCACATCCTTGATTTAGTGGCCCACGATTTGTCTATTAAATAGTATTGTACCATTAAATCAATAAATCGTTCATGCGACCAGGCCATTATAWTAGTATACTTTCATCATTATCAAGTCAATTTTATTTTATTACATTATCATGATAATATTGCGTACCTACACGCTGGGGGTTACATGCTCAATGAAATATACTAAAATTCGGATCTGTCTTGATGTACATTGCGTGATAGTAGGTAGGTATATTATGTAAAGCTACATTCCGCTTYGGTATAAACTACCTATATAATATTATCGTATTATCCACTTATGGTATACTTGCGCTGCCTAAAAGCTACAATACAATATCATAATATTTTCAGTTACAAACACATATAAAATACTAAGATTTCTCTGCTCGGAAATATTCCGTGATGGCTTATATGCGATATTTTACTAAAGKCTTTAACATACGAATCGTATGTATTAATCTACAAAAAATGTTGTATACGTGAGTCAAAATCACGGATTTAAGTATGAAATATGTAAATTTATAATATTGTGTTTTGTTTAGAGACATTTTGTTTTCTGAATATCAATATAAATGTTTGTTTCAAACACATCAATCCGAGTAAAAAAAAAAAAAAATATTTTAAATTGTAGTTTTTAAATATTAATAATATACTTCTTAAATATGTTTTAAAATTATTTTGTTTGTATGTAAAGTAGAAAAAATTCTTAAGACAAAAAAAATATCGTAATTTCGTTTATAATATTAATTATTTATTTTTCCAGTWTCCTTTATGTTTTTACWACGATCATATTGTTTTTATGATGTCAAATGACCTATATTTATATACATATTTTTATAACGTCGATATTACAATTATCCGTTATTTTCAGAACTAATACGAAAATGAGAAACTCTTATTTTTCATATTATTTTAATCAATTTAATGAAATTTTTGGCAGTTTCAAAATTTACTTTTGTTG